ACCTTCTTCTACTGATTGTATGTCGATTCTAGTCAGGAATGAGGTAGAAAAGATATTGTTTGTAGCTTTCTATTCAATGCTAAAGGCTAATTTCTCACATAAACATCCCTACAGGCCCTATTCTTGTACAAATACCTGAGACACGCCATAAAGAACAAAGACAAACCATATATTGTAGTGAAATTGTATTTATTATTATTTAGTATTAATGTTTGATCTATCAAAGCATTTCTAACTGTTTTTTATTAAGCAGGATAGACAAACATGCTAGTGTCCTCATTTTTGCTCACTCTTTTCTTATATAAGGATCTACATAGATCAGATTTGACAAATTTTTGCAGCTTGTCTCAACAAAAAGGCTAGCAAAATCCAGATTTGTGAATGTTAAGTGTGATTAGGGATTTGTTTTATACACTGAGTACAGTGATTACCATTATCCAGACCCCATTACAACGTCTTTATCAGGTTTTGTTTTTGAGTAAGAAAGTATCATTGTGTTTAGCCAATACCAGCTAATGATCCGCTAATCAGGAATGGGAAAAGAGCTCATTGAGCATCCGTACTAGCCGTTGGCTAATCTATCCGAGGGCTGTTTTCCACTGGGTACCGTACACTCGAATTGGACCAAAAATTCTTAAGTCCATTATCGGTGCAATAAAGAGCTAATGACCCAATGACGGGAATATATTTGCTGTGGCACCCATCTCTACGAAGAGGCCGAAGGATAAGGAGTCATTAAGGCAGCGTTATCTGGTCCAGATAGCATTGGCATGTCTACGCAGATCATTATTTTCGCCCCTGGAGCCGTTTGCCAAACGAGAAGAGCCGTGTGAGCAAAGCGGCCGCCGCTCAGACTCGGCGGTCAGCTGCGGTGTGGAGGGGGAGCCACTAACGATACATGCCCTGGCAGCTAATTCTCTTTCTAAATGCCCCTAATGACTATTTTATGAAAGGATCTTGCATTTTATTTTTCGTTTTGCTTTAGTCAGCTTGCTGTTTGCTGGAGGTTTGAAGACGAGATGTTTCTACGCTATACACACACATGTTATCTTTTATTCTTTTGTCGAGCATTGGTCTTAAACAAACGCCCCTGTGAATAGCCCTGATAAAACAATAACAGTGTGTTAAATAAGACTCTCCCTCAATGCTTTCAGAGTGTTCTTTCTCTCCGAGTAAGAAGACGTGATGAAAGCAGCTTTTACATAGAAATACAACAATGCAAGGTGAAGTGTTCTGACAGAGGAACAAAAACCCAAATTTGATGCTATTGTATCTATTTTGTTGAAATATGTGGAAAATAGCATTTTGGTGCATCTGACTCAAATCAGTTTAGTTTTTTGTTGTCTGAACAGCAGAACACAAGTTTAAGTTTACAGACCTGATCAAAACCATAACCAACAATTGAAATCTGATTTCATTCATTCATTCATTCAATTTCAAGATCTGATCCAAACCACATCCAACAATTGAAATCTGATTAAATTCGATCGTTCATTCATTCATTTATATTAATTGAATTTCAACATCTGATCCAAATCACAGTCAACAATTAAAATACAATCAAAATGTTTGTTTGTTTATCTATTACATTTAGTATATTTTGTATTTGTTTTTGTTAATTTTGTTTATTTAGTTATATTTCAAGACCTCATTTATTCATTAATTTATTTTAAGAACTGATCCAAATTACATTTAACGTGTTAAATATGATTACTATTTATTTATTTGAATAACCTGAATTCAAAGAATTCAAAACCTGACCCAAACTAGATCTAACAACTGAAATCTGATTAAAATTTTATTTAAATAATGTAGCATGCAACTGTATGCAAACACATTCATTTGTTGCTCACCCTTTTCTTTTGTAGCCAACTATGTGATATTACTCAACAGTATGGTACTTTGCTAAATTGTATTGTGCATGATTGTATTGCACTATATAGTTCTTATGTTGTGTAAATATAAATATATATATATATATATTTCAATGACCACAGTGTTACCGCTAACAGTATGGTTTCATTAAATCTTCCTTCAAACACTTCAATTACGGTAAATTAGCGGAGTAGATCGCCCCCAGTTCCCTTCAACTGGATTGTTATCTAGCGAGGTTTCAGAGCCGTCTCTGCTTTTATGGAAGGACTTAACAGCTTGAGTCTAATCAAAGACATTTTTCCCTCTGTGTTCAGGCTAAAGAAATTCAATTAGTTTAATTGGTCTGCTTATTATAAGCTGTAATGTGATGTGAGTGCCGCTGTTGTCAAACTTCACAGGCTACTTTAAACAGCCTCCTTAATTAGATGGAGAACTTTAATCTCAGTGTTTCAATTGTACAGTGAAGAGGATCTTCAAGCAATATTCTGGCTTTGTTTGCAAAGCAAACTACAAAAGTTTTTAAATAGCTCAAGTGTGGGCCTTCCTTACATACATCTATAGGTTTATAGGCAGACAATATTGCAAGTTTTCATTACACAACTGTCTGGCATACATAATTCTCATCAAATGTTTGCATTATGACCATATGTATCCGATTATTGTCTCGAGCAGCTGATTTCCTAGATTCATAGCTATGATTTTATGTCTCTTGTATCATTTTGTGGTTGATTTTTTTCAATTACATTTCTCATTCACATTTATTTTACATTCACATTTATTTTATTTTATTTTTTGTTTTAGAGAGCAGCCACACAATGATATGAGGCGATTGAAATTTGTGGTGTATACAAGTGTATTTTTTTTTTATTTGTAATAAAGCAAAAACTATCATATGAATCCGACTCGGTTTCATCGGTTTAGTCTTTTAGTTGTCAGTAAAACAGAACAGAAGATCAAGACCTGATCTTTACAGACCTGATCGTAAATTGAAATCGGATTAAAAATGTATTTATGTATTCATTTATTACATTTTAAGATTGGATCCAAATCACATCCAACAATTAAACTCTAATAAAAATTAAAAAAACAATATTTAATGTAGTTATTTAGTCAGTTATGTTACTTAATCAATATTAAGTTCTTGTTTACAAATTTACTGAATCTCAAACTTGCAGTTGTGCTGTTGTTCTGAATCTCTACACGATATTCAGTATATTCAAAACTGCACTCTGCTTGCATCATATTGCCTAAATGAACCCCTACAGGGTAAACTAAGAGCCCTCTGCTTTGTTTTAGGGTCTTAATCGCCAAAATCAAGGTTAATTTTGACCGGGTGACTACCTTTTTGATAAAACACCTCCCTATTAAACACGCAGGTGTTTTTAGCTGGACTGGTGGATCTATTTCTTTCTCTCTCACCCTTTTTTCCTTTCCCCAGACTAAAGGGGTGGAAATTTTTGAGGGGCAGTGACAACAAAATGGATGACAAATTGCACTTATGATCAATCACAGAACCGGAAGTGCAGCATGGTCTGGTGGATAGGCTAATGGAGTGGAGACCCGAAGGTTCACCACTGGCTGCTCGGCATCGACAGTTGTGCCCTTGAGTGAGGCACTTAACCCAAATTGCTTCAGTAAACACTCTGTCTTAAAAATGACAGTGTATGCAAACCGGCCCATCGGCTTTCTTTACAGACAGAGAGAGAGAGGGATCTATTCTCCAAATGGCATTTTCCCTAAATATTGGTGTACCTTGACTTTTTTAGTGGTGTAAATTTCATGTTTGTTATTGTTAGAGAACTATTACATATGTTTTAATCAACTATTATCTAACCTGAAGGTAACCTAGCATGAAAATCAGCTAGTTTTAAATGCATAATGTCTCTCCTTAAAATAGGGATTTTGACCAGTTCCACCTCAGGTGTCTTGATCATCTTGATTTTATCCTAAAAATAAAAACAGTAACATTATTTGGACCCATTGCGGAAGCTCAAGTTCAACCATTACATAAATTATATGAATAAAATAATTTTTTTAGTTTTGTTTTTTTTATTTAATTCAATTTAGAATTTTACATTTCTTTAAGTTTAGTCAACATTTTTTTTTTTTTTTGAGCACCTCTTTCCGCTGACCATTTGTTGAAAAACAAACCAAAGAATCTAAAGTATTTCATGTTCTATTTTGTACCCTGTTTGTGGAAAGTGGCAAATGTTTTTTTGTGAAAAAACAAAGAGGACACAAAGAAAGCCACCACACAGTGCTAACACAATAAAACTGTATTACATTTGTGCTTAAAATGATTACAGTACAGTATGTACACATCCTAAAAATAAACATCTCATGCTGAATAACACATAAAAAGAAAATCCATATACAATAGCAAGCAAAAAGGAATATGGTTTTTTTAAATATGTACAACCACCATATACAAATTAAGTTTGTCCTCATAATTTCTCTGGGCTATGTCCTCGGTTTCCAAAGGTAATCATAGCCCGTAAAAGGAGTATCAACGTAGTAGGCTACAGTAGTGATTTGCGCTTGCGTGTCGCCTTGAGTCGATAGTAAACAAAACCCGGTAAAGGCAAATCCTCCGACCAGGTATTCACGTGCTCCAGTAATGCCTACAGTTTATGCGACCTGATTGTGTTTAAAGAGGATTATGTCAGCTGATCAACATGGGCCGTTCGTCACGTCTGGAGGAGATGCTTGGCGACTGAGCGGTGATTCAGTTCAGGTATAAACATGTCAGGAACAGAGCCTTGAGTTACACGCAATGACGAAAAGCCTATTAAATAAATACAGTGAAGAAAGTAACAAACCCATCGTTTACACACGTGCCAAAATGTTCAAAGAGTTTGCGTTTGACAGCTAGGGTCTTTTAGGTATAAAACAGGGTGAGAGAAGTTTTTCAAAACGTCACTAATGAAATCACACCACTTGATGTTGAAGATGTCGAAGCTCAAAGATCTGTTAGAAAGCTAACACCATGTCTTAACAAGGTGCCATTTCACAAAGTTGTCCTTAACAGCCAGGATATTTCATCTATATCTGTAGCATTGTGCTGGGTAGCTCCGCCCACTGTGAAATCTCATTGGTTCTCGTAACTCTACATTAAACATCAAATATCTTCTGATTGGCTGTTTGTGTTTATCCAAATAGCTTGTTGCTGGAAACGCAATTAAGACACAATGAAAACGAAAAATAGAAAGGACAATGAGGAAACCCATTCAACCTGAGATCTTATGTTGACATGGCTCCTTCTCATTCGCCAATAAATACTGGATTTTTTTTTTTTTACTATGTGGTCTTCACCCTGTAAAGCAAGTGAAATGCAACTGCGATGTGGACTTGGGGTTGTACGTTTGTGTGTGTTAAAGTTCACAAAAGTCGGGCCATTGAGATGTCTGGTCTTCATAAGGCTGTCAGGCAGCATCAGTCTTGGTCCGTCTTCGAACATTCTCCCACTTACCAAAAACGTCTATGGCTAAACTGTACAGTACACCGTCCCTTATGTGGGCTCTTCGTATATACAATGTAATGGGGACAGGGGCTGGAGAGGATACTAGTGCTTCTTATGTCTGATTGCATGTCCCCTTCAGGTCCTCTCGCAGCTCTTTCCCCTCCTGCGAGCAGCGGGGTCGTGGGGTGGTCAGCGGACCTGCGGCGCGTAGCCCTCCTTCATCAGTCCTTCCTCGTAGTCTGTCTGGCACAGGATCATGTTGTTCTTCAGGAAGAACTTGTCTCCAACGCAGAACCTGCATGGAGGCGAAACGAGAAACAGAAACATGGCGTTTATGTAACTCGAGAGGGACGCAGAAGGACTCATTACTAGCAAAACTTGCAGGCTTCCCTACAGAGCCGCATCCCGCCCACTCAAATATTAGCGTACGTTATCCTGCGGACACGTCGCTCGGTCTGGAAAGAGTATCTCCAGAGTGCACCTAGCATCTTCTCCACCTGCAGCTGTTTCATAAATATACCCCACAGATGCAGCGCAGGCTTTAGCGCTGCCTGACGGGCTGCTGTCTCACTTGACCTTTTGGAAAGAAGATTATGTTGGTCAGGCAGAAGAGAGAGACAAAGAAGGCGGCAGAGAGGGAACGAGAGCGAGAGCGAGCGCTCAGTGTGTTTACCCGTCCTGAGGGCCGCTTATTTTGCTCGCAGCGAGAGTTCGACAAGGTCGGAGCGCCAGCGAGAGCTCGTGTCTACTGGCCAGCGTTCCCTACCGAACCCTGCTGCCTGTGAACGAGGAGAAAGACGATGCGTTTGTGTGTCTGCTGGTCCCATTTTAACAATTAAAAGTTCGTATGGGGAATGCAACGTTAGGCAAATGTTAAAGAAATAGTCTGGGTTCATTCCGAGTTAAAGTCAGCAATGGAAATGGAAAATCTATTTTCTAAATGCATGTTATTGATCTTATTGTGAATTGGCCAGCAATGCATATGTTTCATTTTTTTAAATTAGTTTTGACCTCATAATTTTTCTAAATATCATGCTTCGATTTACTGGTGAATTGATAGACATTCTCTCTGGTGACTTGTTCCAGACGTCTCCAATCATTTCGTCTGCACTCACTTAGGAAAAAAAGGTACAAAAGCTGTCACTGGGACAGTACCTTTTTTTAAAAGGTGCATTTTTGTACCTTATTTATCCCTAAAGGGTGCATATAAGTACATTAAAGGACCTAAAGGACATTAAAGGAAAGTACATTAAAGGACCTGGTATATAGTACATTTTTAAAGACCCAGTAACAGGTTTCGTACCTTGCCAAAACACTGTCACTTTCTTATAATCGACTGCCAGCTTGCATTCAGATCTGCCTTCATCCAATCAAAACCAGTGGTCTGAACCAAGTTCCAGCCCTATATATATATATATATATATATATATATATATGTGTGTGACCCGTGCTGTCAAAATGAGTTGGAATGCGCACGGGCTAATTTTGAGCTATAGACAAAAAAAGTGAAAAATGTACTTTCAAAACAAAAATTAAAATAGGAAAAATATGCAATATGAAAATAATTGAAGACAAAATGTGTTTTACTGAGAAAAAACAAGATTTGGTTTGATTTGGCAAAAGGTACATCTGGAAAAGGGGGGGGTCGTCTTATAATCAGGGTCGTCTTATATTCGGGCCAATACGGTATATATATATATACTGTATATATATATATATGGAAGAAATATATTATATATGGAAGAAACGCTACTTCTGTTACACGACTTTGTTTGAGAGCTTTGTGGATAAGAAAATAATTTTGACTTTGTTTTCCATCGTTTTCTTTAAAAAAAGCAAAAATCGAGGTTACAGTGAGGCACTTACAATGGAAGTGAATGGTGCCAATTGATAGTCCACTTTATACATTCTACTAACTATAAGTAACTTTGCACCTACATGTCAAATGCTACTCATTAGAGTATTACTAGACTGTCTGCTTAATATCTGCTAACACTTTATTTCAATAGTCCGCCAACAGACTTTCTACTGTCTGTAAGTAACTTTGCAACTACGTCAACTTATTCTACTAACCATAACTATAACCGAACAGTCTACTAATACTCTAATGAGAGTTAGTTGACATGTAATGGCAAATTTATGAGAGTTAGTTGACACGTAGTTGTCTAGAATGTCTAAAGTGGACTATCGAAATAAAATGCAACCTAAGAATTTGTGCAGGGTTTAAAAGCAGAAATGTGAACCTAACTTTATAAAAGCACTTATTAATTCTTGTTAAGACGTGCACTATTTGACCTGTAATGATGTTAAATGATAATTTTTAAAGTCATTTTAGAGTTTTAGGCTGTACATTGTCATGGTAACAATGTTATAAATTGGATCTTTACACGAAAGATTAGATTTTTTTTTAACTCAGTGCTTCACTGTGACTCAAATTTTTTGGCTTTTTTATTGGGGGAACACTCATTTTTGTGGTTATCAACAGTATGTCTAATTTGTATTGAACATACAATATTCCTTCAAACATCCTCAGGAGGGGTCGAATAAGATCTAAGAGCCATTATCCTTTCCATTGTTGAATACAATGAGCGAGTGCTAGGATACTTTGTAAACGGCTTCCTTCTTCCCTCCCTCCCTCCCTCGCGCACACACACTCCGGCAAACTTTTTTTTATTCGTTATACACGGCAATGTCAAGCGGGAAGGCGCAGCCATTAGTTTGGACCAAGTATCAACAAGTAATATCCATTAATCGTGCTTGTTGACACGGTGATTAACACAAAGCAGAGGTGTGCTTAATGTAATGGTGTCATTCACTCCAATAAAAACGTCCTGTTTAAATGACACATTCTTGCCAGGAATCCATTAGTGTCTGTCTTCTCTGACATCCTGGCCCTCTCCACCTCCTCTTCTGAGCACCTCCATCTCGCTCGTTCGTTCTCTCGCTTTCTCGGCTAATAGGATCTCTCTGTGTTTATTTACAGCCTGTGTTTTCTGTTCCCTCTTAGCCTCGTCGCCGCCCCGTTTCGCAGCGCCAAATTGTTTCTGCTTGGTGAAATGTCAACAGCTTTTGTGACATCTGTGTGCCAATTATGACGAGGATATTGCAGTCAGCCCATCAGAGGTAGCGGTAATAAATGCCCTTGCGCTGCCCTCCGTTTTTCTGCTCGTGCAGTCATTACCGATCGCCACATGTTTCCGAGCACCTACATTACCCTTAGCTTGATGCGTCCCCCTCGCCCTCCCCTTTCAATCTCTCATCCCAGATAAGTTCAACTTCAGATTGCTTTAATTGCTTTTTAGTATTTCCCATCAAGTAGAGGAGAAAAAAAGTGAATGCATTTGATATAGTGTTTGCTCGGGTATGACCATAAATTTGGGGCTTTTTATGTTTTTTTTTTTTTCTAAGGCTGCCATTTTAACACATTAATTGAGTGTGATTAATTATAAAGAAAATAATGTGATAAAAATGAACGTAATTAATTTAATGGATTTTTTAATGTAAATTACATTTACAAAATACTAGCAGAGCATTGTAAGTAATTATTTAAAATATATATATATTTTTTTTAAAATTGGTAACTCTTTGCAACAAGGTTAAATTAGCTAACATCAGTTAATGCATTAAATATCATGATCTAACAATGACTTCTACAGCATTTATTGTGATTTACTGGATTTTGGTGTGGTCGTTTTTTTTTCTTTGTGAGTATGAATTAACAATAGTATATTTAGAAATTATCATTAACCTAGTTTAATAAATGCTGTAAAAATGTTCATGATACTTAATGCATGAACAAATTGAACCTTATTGTAAAATGTACTGTTTTTTCCAACCATTTGATCAATTTAAGAAGTACAACCTTATTTTTTGCATAATGTCTTCCCTATGTTTTTGTGCAATTATAGCTGATTATATGAAACTTTCCTTTGCCGAACTAATTAAACGATTTAAAAACATGCCAAAAAATTGTGTAAATGGCCCCTCAATGACTATTAAAAGTGTTCGGCTGTCACAATAATGATTTTCATAAATTAATAATTTATATCAATTTAAAAATATTTTTTAATTACAACAATTCATGAATAAATAATATTTTCAAGATTGAGAAAATAAAAATAACATTATTAAAATAAATTAAATCAAAGTCTTTGAATTCTCTTAATTTTCTAAGCAAAACATTTATAGATATATGCAATTAAATGCAATTTTATCTTATGAATTAATCAGAATATCCTTCTAATTAAATCAGTTAAATTTTTAATTGATTGACAGCTCTATTTTTCTTAATTAACAATAGCTTTACATTCTTCTAGTCTTTCGGTTATATTCCCGTTCTTTCATTTCTACGTCGTTCCCTCTCTCCTTTTCCTCAGGTGTGACAGTAATGATGAATATGTCTATTGAGACCCATCTTGTTAAAGAAAAGATGGCTTCCAAGGCAGTGGACTTAATGATGTATGGCTTCGTCAGCTATTTGCCTCTGAGGTCTGTGTTAACTAGAGTAGTAACATTCCTCTTCTGTGAAATAACATGCTGGAGCTGTGTGGAGGAGAGAGGACTTGAAAGAGTGAGGGAAAAGAGAGAGGAAATGAATCATGGAGGGAGGTCTATAGACGGAGAGAAAGAAAGTGAACGTCATCATCGGATGTGAATAAGACATTATCCGACAGAATAGAGTAGATCTGCCGCAGTGTCTGCAATGCAACCGCATGGTTTCCTCTAACGAATGACATCTAGAACTGAGGTTTGCAGACGTCTCTGAGGGGACGAGACCGCCGTCTGTGGCGTAGTTTAGTTACCGCAGTCCCTGACGCACGTGCAGCCCAATTTGGCTCAGGCTTTCCAGACTTTCTGACAAGGACGATGACCCATACCGGTGACCCCCCTGCCCTGCCACCCAGGCCTCGGCCTTCTTCAGATCTCCCGTGGGGCCTCAGAGCGCCGCGGCCCGGGCTTATCACCGGGAACTGGGACTCCTGAGGTTGGCTGATGAGGCCTGAGCGGACGACAGGCTCATCGATTAGCTGTCCCTTCAGGGCTGATCTGTGGCTAACTGCTGACTAGAGTCTCAAAACCACACAAACACACTGCACTCGCACTCACCGCCGCGGCTGTCGCCCTGATCCCTGTTAACCAAGCTGAGGATATAACCTCAAGCCAGGTGAACAGATCATATCCAACCCATGAATAATCACTCCAGATTAAGTCCGGCTGCGCAGAATGATGGGATACTTTATGGATGACACAGAGCATGTCTGATATCATAAAAGTCTGGAACGTACTGTTCAGTGTTCAGTCAGTGATTAGCAGTTATTGTTAAATAAAACTATTACAAATCCTTGTTTATTAATTTAATTTAAAATGTTTATTACTCGATATATAGATATAGATAATATATATAGATATACAAACACACATATATCTGTGATCTATCTATCTATCTATCTATCTATCTACAGGTGCATCTCAATAAATTAGAATGTCGTGGAAAAGTTCATTCATTTCAGTAATTCAACTCAAATTGTGAAACTGTCTTAATAAGTATTCTAATTTGTTGAGATAGTTAATTGGTGGGTTTTTGTTAAATGTGAGCCAAAATCATCACAATTAAAAGAACCAAAGACTTAAACTACTTCAGTCTGTGTGCATTGAATTTATTTAATACACGAGTTTCACAATTTTAGTTGAATTACTGAAATAAATGAACTTTTCCACGACATTCTAATTTATTGAGATGCACCTGTATCTATCTATCTATCTATCTATGGGATATATTATAGATAGATAGATAGATAGATAGATAGATACAAACAAGTGAAAAGTAGAAATATAAAAAAAACGGTAGTGAACGGGCCGAGGGGAAACGCAATCGCAAACGGACCGAGGGGGCCCCGCGTCAGCTAAGGACGGCCCTGGACAGCAATATACTAATATACTGCAATTTTCCTTTCATCAGTCTCGTTCAGTGGCTCTGAGTTACGTTCAGACTCAAAACACTCACGTGTTCAGTAAAGAACGGCATATAGATTTAGTTGGTCCAACTAATGAGTCAAATTCACAGTCAAATGCTAGTCATTCTTTAAAGGCAGGAAAAGCCAAACAGTCACATGTTTCAAAAGTGAGAGATTTGACACTTATGATTCGTTACCATATTATGTAGAAGTTTCTGGTTTTCATATACATGAGCCAGATATAGTTCAGCACACTCTTTGTGGAAATCAAGCTAATCACGGGCGGTATTTAATGGTGCTTTTGTGTGGCCTGACTAATGAAACGACTCTGTAGGAGATGATGGCCTAGCTGATGTGTGTGGGGAAAAGGAGGGGTGGCCCAGCTGTAATAAAAGCTTGATTGTAATCATTTAAGCATCAAACGGTAATGTCAGGACATTACTGACCCTCATGGAGAAGCATAATTATACGGCGTGACCTCTACCAACCCGATAGCCTGCTCCAAGCATCAGAATGCCTGTCCCACGTCACTGATGGCGAGGAGAGCGTTTTGTAAGATGGATTAGATGGCTCTTTTAAAGGCCATGGCCTCTTTAATATTGTTTGAAGAGGGGAGATGAGAAGGGAGAAAGCAGGGTAGGATGTATATGAAAGTAGATAGAAGGGAAATAACAAAACAACCCTTATTTAAGGAAAGGAGGCGGGGAATTTTTATTATAGCGAGCATTTGATAGGACAAAGATCTTTTAGTGCAGGATTCAGAGCAGAGTCATCAATATTTGTGACTGTAAATATTACAGTTAATTTTGTTCAAGGTTTTGAAATGTATTAGCATACAGACAGCCTGGAAATTAAGATACATGGAATATAAGCAATAAAACTATTTTTTATTTCAGGTAGTCCTTGAACTACAAAAATGAGTAATTTTACCCCTGATTTATTCATCATTTTCATTCAAGCACTAAGTGCATAGAACAAAACAGATGGGAAAAATGAAATCAGGCCCAACTGGCTAGTGAAAACAATAATGCGCAATGTGTTTACTAAAAGATCTCCTTCCATCAAAGGCTCTTGAGACAGACTTGCTGTTTGTGTTGATGTTTATCAAAGAGCATCACTGGACTGAGGCTGTACACGAGTAATGTGGCGAGCTGTCACAATGACGGACGCGTCATGAAAAGCCCCGCCGTCCTTTTCTCTTTCTTAGGAGTCCATCAAAATTTGCGAGGCTTTCTCGAAAGGCACTGACAGAACAACAAAGTGTCTGAGACGTGTCGGGTGGCGGGTGTCTGTGGAGATAATGTCTCGTCAGCTTGTTGACAAATGAATTTTCTCTGGGTCAAATGGGGGGTATTTGCATATCAGACTGTTGATGCGGTGCTCTCTCGGGTAGTGTTTAGACCATAGGAGAGCCGATGCAGGAAGTTCTTTATGACCTGTGTTGCTTTAAGTGATTTGTATATGTATACTGGGCCTAATGCATATTTAGACATGTACTAGTCTCAGCCTCAGACGTCACGCCCACGGACCGCTGGCTGAACGTCTGATGCATATCGCACTCAAAATTGGAAACACTTCGAAGTTTCGAAGTCGTCATCGGATTGGTTAAATTATACAGTATTTCCGGGAGATGTGTGTGTCGCGTTCTTTAAGATGCCGTGATGCCAAACCCTCTCATGGAGTTAAAAGTCTGACTGTGATGATAAGCGCTTAACAGGATCAACTAAACGCTGGATTTTCAAAAGTATGTGAAAAATTTAAAGTTCGCAGCATAGAATCTTTAAAATATGTCCAAGAGTTTTACACACCGGTCTGTTATTGTGGCGACATTTCCACGCCCATAAACATGACGCAGCACGAAACGTGATTGGTTGCTTTACCTGTCAGTCATACTTGGGTGGGCTTTGGCCATTCAAAGTGGCAAAGGTTCCCAGACCTTCTGCCATCAGTCTGAAGATCTGGCTATATGCAAGACTAGACATGTACAAGCTGCTTATATGAATTTCAGTGCATTAGAAAACTAATTGGTTCACTAAATTGGTTAATTAGAAACCAAAGTGGCATCAAATAAACAATGACCTTTTTTTGCAATTACTTTTAACCAACTTGTTCCAAGGTGTGTGGGAAATCAGTTCTTATCAAGTCCAAAAGTTTGGGGTTTGGGGTAAGATTTTTAAATGCTTTTGAAAGAAGTCTCTTACGCTCATCGAGGAATTTATTTGATCCCCAGTACAGTAGAGAATTATTGTGAAATATTACAATTTAAAATGATTTGAAATGTTTTCTATTTAAATCTATTCATATTTATTGAAATAAAATGTAATTTATTCCTATGATGCAACGCTGAATTTTCAGTACTCATTACTCCAGTCTTCAGTGTCACATGATCCTTCAGAAATCATTATAATATATTGATCTGGTGCTCAAGAAAAATTTTGTAAGATCGGTGTTTAAAACCATTGTGCTGCTTAATATTTTTTGTGGAAACCATGATACATTTTTAATGGATTTTTTGATTAATAGAAAGTTTATTTGAGCATTTATTTGAATAGAAATCTTTTGTAACAGTATAAATGTCTTTGCTGTCGCTTTTAATCAATTGAATACGTCCTTGTAGAATAAAAAAGTATTCCTTTCAAAAATTCTTACTGACCCCAAACTTTGAACAGAATAAATTGGATCTCATTTTATATTTTTTATGTAATGCAATACATTTTTAAGCACGGTGTAAGAATCCAAATACTTTTTAGGACCGCTGAATGTGAGTTTGTTGCTAAGGACACCTATGTTCATCCATCTCTCCACCAAAACATCCAAAAATGTCAATAAACTGACAGGAAATTCAAGCTTCAGTCTGAGATATGGGCAATTAGCACCAGCGCCGTGCTATAAATCTTGTGGTGAACACCAGTGAAATTGTGATGGGGGAATGAAAGATGCATAGAGGCCTCGTCAGAGCGTGTAAAGCAGACTGTAATGCCGGGCCGGCGGGTGGACCTGTCTGTGACTCTGCTGATGAAGATTAGCTGACTTCTTAGATTAGGTGTGCGTGGTTCGTGCAGTCAAGTGAAGTGGCAAGACAATAACCCGGTGTTAATTGAGCGTAACCAGATCCTGCAATCTGCCCCTCTCATGTGTACTGCTCTCTGGCACCTGTGTGTTTGTATGAAGCAAGTATCTAATGAACAGCCGTGCATGAGGTTTCTTCTTTATTTTAGCCACGTTCTAAGACAAATGGCCTCTTCTTCTTAGACTGAATGAGGACAAATAACACAATTTGCCCAAAGTAATGAAGAAAACCACAAGCCACAAAATATTTAAGTGTTAAATTGCTGTTTTTGATAGTGAACCACTGAAAAAAAAAATTTCATTTTAACATGAAAAGAAGATTTAGGACAATTCTTGTTTTAACATCCATAGAATAATTTGTGTAAAAGCATGCTGTGGTCTTCTCATTCTCTTCTCAAGGATGTGAGCAAATTTTCAAGATTCGGGGTGACGGAATGTTAAAAAAGAATTTTAAAACACAATAATAATCTACTATTCAGAATTAAAGTAAATGTAATAAAGTCAAATGTAATAGAAATACTTGTTTACTTTTCAAGCCTAACATGATCGGCAGTGGTTGTAACTGTCGAAAGTTATTTGTTTAAACCCCAGAAGGGGCATTTCGTGATTTTGAGGGATATTTTGTTCCTAATAATCACAGCAAGGCATGATGCTTGAGGGTGAGATATACTATAAACCACTTTGGATATGAACATGTCTATTAAATGGCATTTTTTTGTTGTTACACATGTGGGCTTGTGGTTCAGAGATATTGGTAAGAATCACTAAAATTTGCAAATGATTGTGGTTCAATACTTTAATATTACTGTGCCAGCAATCCAAAGGTTGCTGGTTCAAACCCCCGAAGGGCGATTCATGTGCTGGAGAGTTATCCCCTATATCACTGTTTTGCCCTTGAGCAATGTACTTCTTGCTCCAGGGAGACTGTACTTGTAGTAAACACACTGATGTAATTTGGATAAGAAAACATCTGCCCAAACCGTCTTTCAGTGGTAGGGTGGTGGGCTTTAATCCGAAGGTCATTTTTCAAACCCTAGAAGGTTTGATTCATGAACCGGAGAGTTGCTGGGATTCCCTATCACCATTTTGCCCTTGAGCAAGACACGATAGAGGGGTTAAGCGGGACCGTCCTTGTAGTAAATGGACTGTAAGATGCTTTGGATTCAAGACAGCCTTTGAGTTTTAAAAGGCTCAGCACATCTGCACAGAGATACATATGTTTAAGTACTTCGAAATGTTGAAAAACTGAATATGATTTGACTAACCTCTGGTTACACAGCTGGCAGGCAAAGCAGTCCAGGTGATAGACGTTCTCCTTGGCTCTCATGACCATCTCGAATGCTGGGATGAGTTTACTGCAAGCCGCACAGTTCCCTGTCACACCGAACAACCTGACAGATTGAAAAAGATGTGACGTTTTAGAGTCAGAACCATTGGATCAACCATATCATTACGACTGAAATGGGATTGTTGGGGTGATTTATAAATAAATGACTCTTATGAACGAGTTCTTTATAGTGAATCAAAGAGAACAACCAGTATGGTACAATTCACAACTGACTTTTATAAACCGGTTCTTTTATGAGAATCAAAAACATACCAAGCAACCAGTTTAGTCTGATTCACAAACAAATGACTTTTATGAAAGGTTCTAGTGTATTAAAAATATAAAGAGCAACCTGCTTAGTACAGTTCACACTAGACTCTTATGAACTCTATTTTTTTTTCTTTCAGTAATTCAAAAACATACAAAGCCACCAGTGTAATCCGATTCACAAACAATTTCTCAATCAAAGACATACAGAGCAAACAGTGTTGTTGGATTCACAAACAAATGACTCCTATGAACTAGTTATTTTTAGTGAATCAAAAACAGTGTAGTCCAGTTCACAAACAAATGACTCTTTGGAACCGGTTCCTACTAGTGAATCAAAAACATACTGATCAACCAGTGTAATCCAGTTCACAAACAAATTACTTTTTATTAATGAATCAAAAACTTAAAAATAACCAATGTAGTCTGATTCACAAACAAATGACTCATATGAGTCTGTCCTTAAACGAATCATCTTTTTTCCATTCCCATTTATGGGGTTTATTACACAAGTTTATCATATTATATAAATTATTACAGTGTTTTACTCAAGACTGATTATAATATCTGCAGCTGTTTGCTATTCATTTTTTAAATAAATATTTTTGTCACAAGGTTCCCTGTGTAGCATTTCCTGAGAAACGTATTTTAATTCATATGAAATTTATTAAATATGAACGCAAAATGGACTATATAGCTGAGATATGTACAACTGAACAACATGAATCAAACTGAACAAAGAGCTTGTGAATAGAACCAAAAAACAGTATCGATACGAAGCCTACTTCAATATTTCCCATAATGGGAAAGATAATTTTTTACCATATTTAAGGTTGTGCATTGGACAAAAACACATAAGTGGAGTGCGATGTGAACATCATGGAGATGTCCGGGCCGGGTGAGGTTAGCACCACAGAGCCGCTGCCCAGGAACGAGCCTATTATTTTCCAGCCCGCTCGCGGGACATTACGGAGAGGATTCATTAGGGATTCATGGCTGTTACTCCACCGTGACCTAGACCGAGTAAAGGGGGGAAGGGGGAAAATAAATATCTGATAACGAAATCATATAACAAAATAACCTATTAGGCGGACTTCTTCGGGCACTTTTATCCGTCGTTGTTAAAATGATAAAACTGCATGCCACTCTCCAGCTCTGTAAGAGATCGCAATCTGATAAATGATCTCAGGGCCTGGGATTTGCAGGGTTGTTTATTAACCTTCAGAAACTATGTTTCCCACAGGCAAATAAAAAAGAGCCGAGCAGATAGATTGTACTCTCATGAATACCTACAAAATTAAAGGCTACTGTCAACACACCTTGAGACGATGAAGGATATCTCCAATAGCTTTCCAGGTAAGATGAGAAAGAAAACGAGAGTTCGTCCTGTGGATTGGTGCGGTCGATTTAATTAAAGGAATTATGTCTTTTTCTTTGAGCTGTCTAAATATAGACACGTTTGCGATATCACGTCTCCACTATTTTCAGAAAAAGTGCATTGCCAGAAGGCCTCAGCATGAAAGAGATGAAATGATGAGGCATATTTTTTCCACTCGCATCTTGCAATTATTATATATATCAAAGATCTAAATGCAAATATAAAAAGGATGATAGATTCACTGTACGATAACTCGCTTATATAAGGAAAATTATTATGGTGCATTAATGCATGTTCTGAAAAGAAAATACGCATTAATGCACGCGCTGGATTTCAGTTGATGAATGATAGATGACATCCATATGAAAAAATGATGCTTGAAGGTTTTTTTTGTCATCCGGTTGAATCAAACTAGTATTGTGTTTGCCACTCTAGCGAGCTGTGAGCTCAAAACGTCTCGTCTCGTGCAAATTTAAAGTAACCAATACCTTTCCTGGAATTGGACAGTCATGCCTTTTTGCTTTGAACATTTGAGGACAGAGGTCTGTGCTTTGCAAACACACAAAGCATTGAGTGAAGACGACTGCGCTCACCTGAGAATCTAGCTGTGTGTTACATGCGCTGCACTGAGAAATCAATAGATGTGTTTTTATTTAAAGAACTGACTGTATTTTTTCTATGTAATGGATTGTGATCCATCAGAAACTAGATGTAAGTGGAGTATCTTGATGTACTATCATGTTCTTTGGGGAATTTGTTTTGCAGCTTCATTTTGACTGCTGGTTTTAGCTATTCCCTTGTTTCGAAACTGACAGATTTACTCTGGGCTCATATTTTCACACAGCACATTAATATACTCCTTTATTTTTGAGTTTCGACTTGAGTTAGATCGTGTGAAAAGAGTCTTGAGAATTGACTGAAATGGTTTTGCAAGCCAGCATATTTACGTATCTGAACTCATATCTTGTATTAAACACTAGATAAAAAATGTTTGATACAATTTCAGCTCTATTTACAGCTTTTGTGGCATATTGTTGATTAGCAAAGAAAATTTGAGTCATCCTTAAATTATAGCTTTTTAATAAAAAGTCGAGAAGACATTTATTTTTGATGAAAAATATAGTAAAAGCAGTAATATTGTGAATTTTTTTCTATTTTAATAAATTATTTTAATTTTATTTTTTTATTAAATTTTCAGCGGCCATTACTCCAGTTTTCAGTGCCACATGATCCTTCAGAAATCATTCTAATATTCCGATTTGATGCTCAAGAAACAGCTTTTATTTGTAGAATTACTTGTATTATAATGTAATATAATATAAATAATGTATTGCTACTTTCTGATAAAAGTATTAATTTCTTTAAAAAAAAAATATATGTATATATATATATATATATATATCCCAAACTTTATCAAATATATAAAACAATATATATATGTATGTATGTATGTATATAAAATATCTATAATATACCTACTGTATATTGACCACTAGTGGTGAACCTCCACAGACATTAAAAGACCCACTGATGCTAAAAATAGGGAACTGTGCCACAAGCATCCAACA